TCCTTTATCCCTGGACTTTCATCCGTGCCGCCTCTACGGCTCTACGGCCTCGCGCCCTCTGCCACCTGCGCCCGGAGGCTTGTTCTCTGGTGACCAAGCAGCCGTATCCCCCCGTACGCTCTCGCCCAGCCCGTGCGTGACGTCCACCTGACGTTCGCCTGTCGGACCGCCGGAGGTCGGCTGGCCTTCTGGTGACAGCAGCCGTCCTCACCCGATTACGACTCTCGCCCAGCCCGTGCGTGACGTCACCTCACGTTCGCCTGTCGGACCGCCGGAGGTCGACTGGCTCTCTGGTGGACCAGGCAAGCCGTCTCCCCCGATACGCTCTCCCGCCCAGCCGTGCGTGACGTCACCTCACGTTCGCCTGTAGGGCGCCGGAGGTCGGCTGGCCCTGGCGTGACGCGGCGGCGGCTGACCCAGTGCGCGGTCCGCTCGACAGGTGACAGCACCGCTGCGCCGGCGCCTCTGCGAGGTGTGCGTACTGCGGCTGGACGCGCCCGAGGCCACCGGCCGGCGCCGCGGCGCCATTGCTGCCCCGCCTTGCCGCCCGACCAGGTCAGTGGCCGGCGGCGCCTGCGCTCCAGCTCGGTGCTCGGTGCTGGGCTGACCGCCCCTGGCGGGGCAGACACGCGCTGAAAGTAGCCGCCACGCCCGTGATCGCCTTTCACGAGAAGGCAACATTCCGTGTCCCTCGTGATCCCCCCCCCCCCCCCTGCGCTAAGGTTAGGTCGTCTGGTGAAGCCTGCCGGGCCGTGTGTGCCGTTTTGGAGATGTCGCGTCGAAGAGAGTGGGTTGCGTGTTGGAGTGCAGCGGATTGGGACGACAGCTCACCGAGCTGAACGCTAAACCGCATCTAGGTCCGCCGCACAGTCGTGTCTCCCGCTGGTGACCTTTGGCGTATTCGATCAGACTGGGCAGCAGCGTGGTCGATCGGATCGCATTCGAGCAGGCTGAGCAGCAGAGGGGCTCACGCCGGCCTTGCACCCGTCAAAACTGTGTGCTGACATTTGACGGTGGTGTCGTGTGTGCTTTCTTTGCGGTTGGTCCTGTAAAACAACGTTAGATTGTGCGTATAGGCTGAATTGTCTGACGCACGGGTCTAAGGATTTAGGAATGTTTTGACGTTTAACGGTTGGCTACGTCGGTGTTTGTGCTTCGGTTTTTGTGTTTGGCATCTCAGCTGTTTGAGTAACGCACCGTATTGACTGTGTTACGCAAGCTTTAGTTGCCCAACAGACATAGAATATGCGTAGCTGCATGTGCTGGGCAGCTGTTCATATCCGATGCAAGTAGATACGGGTGATTTCACCGATGTTGGTGTCAGCGGCATGATGGTGCGCCGGCTATCAGTCACTGAGCGTCGGCCGTTTCTGGCGCTGCTCTGACTGCGCGCCCGTCATGATGGTGCACCCGTCATCAGTCACTGAGCATCAGCCGTTTCTGGTGGTGCTCTGAACGCATGCACGTCGCCGCCAGCTGCTGGAGGCGCTCTGGGCGGCAGGCAGTGACGTCAGACTGGCTGGAGTGATGTCTCTGGCGCGCGCCCGCCGTCACCTGCGCACGCACCAGGTGTCGGTGCTGGCGCACGCCGACACGTACCGCCGCTTCGTGCAGAGTCTGGCCGAGAGGTGGGTAGACGCGAGTAGTGCGGTTTTGCAGTGCCATCTAGTGACGACACCGAGACGCTGGGCTTTGATCCGTCCCGCCGCACGCGGTCGTGTTGCCACCTAGAGGCACTAGCGAAGCAGACCAGGTGCCAATGGAGAGATGGCTACCGCTGCGATTTTCCCTATATGAGTTTTTTTGGCCTTCATCGAGGCTGGAACGTAGTGAGCTAGAATCGCCTTTGAACTAGGGTGAGATTGAAAAACTCCAACGGAAAAAGGCCGTACAAGGGTAAAGAATTCAGCTCACAAAAGATTAATTTTATGGGCTAGTGAGAGATGCTTCAGCAAACAAAGACATCCATTTCAGGTCGGCCTCGAAATAATATCATAAACCTGACAAAACTGTTTTTTTACATCTTAGGACATCAAAAAGAAACAGAATACATTAAAGCATAGGAATTTCATAACTGGTGAGCATCAAAAACTATGCAACACCAATAATTTGATACTACACTTTGCACTTCCTTCCACTGCATTTTTTGAACAAAACAAAGCAAATAAATTTGTTTGAGATGTTTGCTTCACCTTCTGGATGGGATGGCTTGACTATTTGCTACATGCTGATATTCAACTCATTATAATTGCTATGTCACTTAAAGTATTACTGTGTGAAAAATACAGTGCATATATACAGTAGTCATTTGCCAGTCAGCAAACCACAGGAACTATGGACATGTTAAAGCAGCCATGAGGGACCACTTTGAGAAATTTGAGGCAAATAATCGAGAATGTAGAACAAAATAAGTCAGTTACATGTTTTGTAACATCATGATTTTTTGTATGAAAAACCTGATTGGTTAAAAACAGCAAATTGCTTACTCTAGGTACAAATCGTGCGTTGAAAGCAGGTAAACCCTAATTAACAACAACAAGCGATCACTTGCTCCATAGGAGACTTACTGGCTTTTTAAGGGCAGACTTCTTTCTGCTCCCCCAAACAGAAAGTCTTGCATGGTTTGCTGACAGACAGGGTCATACCACCCACCCCCACATATAAATTTCAACCACGTCAACCAACCTACAAATTTAAAATGCGAAACGAGGCGTGCATGATAAACAGCCCCAGGGCAGAATTTCGCCATCAAACACTTCTGTAGTAGCTGCGTCAGGTCTATCCCAAAGCTAGTTATGGCTGGATAATGTAGCCCAGTAAGGTAGCGAAACTGGAAAGGCATAGATTTATCATCGAGCACCGCCATGAACAAAAACCAAACAACAAAAAAACCCGGGCTGACTAAGGGTTTAACAGGATAAAAATGGTGGTAAGAATAAGCTCCGTGCTTCAAATTGTCTCCTTCATTCCCTGTGCATTGTTCGCTCTTGGGTGCGTGTCAAACATGTTTGGGCGGCTGGCGAATTAATCGAATTGTACGAAATACGTGCAAGTTTGCAATTGTAGCATTTTGCAGAGAAATTGGTCAACATTTTAAGCAATAGATGGTACTTTTAAAGGCAATCGGAAATGATTGAAGAGTAAAGTTAGATCACTCTCGTATGGTGTCAGGAAAAACAAAAACAGTCAAATAAATATCAAGACTGATACTTTTTGGCAAAATATTGTAATCAGCTGATTTGACTTGAAATTTGTGAAAATGGATGCCCAAACGGTGCTATTTAACTTGTAAATTTCATTTAGAAGATATTTATGAAATTTTTCATTCCTGCGTTTCGGGAGTTATGCAATTTAGTTGTCAAATCTCTTCGGATGAAATAAATGCGCGGGGTAAAATTCTCTACCAGGCTTGCTGGTGTTCGTACCATGCTCTGCTTTGGTGGTGTGGTGGCCAGACCAAAAACATTGGGGATGCGTGAAAGCCTTGTATTTGGCTTATAGCTGCCGATTGTGATGCATTTTGTAAACAAACCAAGCTTGATGTTTGTGAGCGGCTGACGTCGCTGGGGCTCTCGGGCTTGAAGGTACCTGGCGCCCTTGCTCTGTGCATACATGGACATGATTCAGATGTAGGTGAGGCAGGACATAGCCATAGGTGTCCAGGTTTTCTGGGGCCTTGTTTATGCTTGGTGGTGTTGAGTAAGCTGGGTTTTAGATGGCATGTGAATGCCTCGGAAAGGGAAATATGGGTTTGGCATGTGCGATTAGATGATATAAGGGAGGAGCGAAAAATCCGCAAAACATGGGGAAAAGGAGCGAAAATTCCTCCTCATGGGCTCTTGCTTTACACCCGAAGTCGGCAATTTTAGGACACTGCTTGAACGCGATTGTTTACTGGTGTGTCGCGATCCGCAGCTCACCCGTGTTCGACTGGGCGGTGGACGCCCTGGCCGCCTGCCAAAACGCAACCACTGTGCAAAAGGCGGACGATGCGTGGCTGCTGTCATCTCGTGGCAGTCTCGTTAAGCTCTGGTCCCACTTGTCGGCGGCAGAGTTCTGCGTGGTACACCGTCTGAAGACGCCGCCTCACAAGAAGCCGGAGGTGAGCACCCTGGGGCCCATGCACCGGAATGTTCTGTCCCAGAGGCAAATGTAACTGATTACCCCGTGCTTTGCCTCAGTTACTCACTCCATAACGGCATGTCCTTGTCATGGGCGACTGGCTGGTTCCCAGGACCTGCTGCCACGTACCGGTCGTGGCGTTAACCGTCAGTTATGTGTGTGGTTAACAGAGGACTCTGACGGAGCTGGACGAGAGGATCTCGGACTGCGTGTCGGCAAACGGCGCCGGCCTGGCCGGTCTGCTCGCCTTCCTGGAGGCGCTGGACAAGTGCATCCACGCGGCGGCCGAAGGCGTCGCCGTCATGCCCTCCGTATTCAACAAGGTCAGGGAGGTCAGCGACTGTTGTCACAGTGAAAGATGGGGGATGTGGCAAGGCATGTAGATGATAGGCTTTTGAATGAGAGGTTGGATAGTTAGTTATTGAGTGGTGAGGGGCCCGTCAGCCGCACTGGTTGTTTGCGCCCGGTGCTACGTTGTTTTATCGCTGCAAGTACCAACCACCTGTTAGGTGACTGCCAGTTGACATGAGTCGTTTAAACAGGTAGAGATCTTTACAAAATTTCAAACGAAGCAAGAAGTTTCCTCAATCTGGAGGTTGACAACTTGCAAAGAAATATTGTGTCAGCCTTATTCGTGAAGATGCCCCTGTCCCACCCCACCTTCCCTTGACCTCAGTACCCCCTCCCCCGCAGGCTGTGCGCTCCTTCTTCCGCGCCAACCAGGCCACGTGCCGCGAGTGGATGCTGCGCGCGCGGCGGCACGTGCTGCGCGCACGGCCAGCGCTGGCGCGGCTGCCGGCGCCGGCCGGGCTCGCCGCCGTCTGGCCGCTGCTGGCCGAGAGTCGCGCGCCGCCGCCACCAGGGGCGCTGCAGTCGGCGGTGGCGGCCGCCGTGAGTGCCGGCAGCTGGCAGCTGGTGCGCGGGCTGCGTCACCTGGCGGAGGAGCCGGAGGCGGCCGATTGGATGGACGGCTCTGAGATGCTGGCACGCCGCAGGTGACTGGGCAGAGGGGCACCGTGCAGTGGGGGCTGACACCTGATGCTCTGTTTGTGCCCTGCAGGCAAGGCTGGGCGATCACACACTGCTACTGTCAGACTTTGTCAGCCCCAGCAGGTTGTCCGCGAGCTCCGATAGTATAGAAGAAACCGGAGGCACGGGGCTCGGCTCCCGCGGTGCCCGCCCTTCCTGCCAGGATGAGGGGCAAATGTGGTCATGTCTCAGCAGCTGTATATATGCACATATATATGAGCACACACACACACACACACATATATATATATATATATATATATATATATATATATATATATATATATATCAGCACATATATATGAGCTGAGTATATATATATAATATATATATATATATATATATATATATACCCACGCACGCACGCACGCACGCACGCACGCACGCACGCACGCACGCACGCACGCACGCACGCACGCACGCACGCACGCACGCATATGTATATATATATATATATATATATATATATATATATATATATACCATTATATGTACGCATATATGTGGGTGTGGGTGTGCGTGTGCGTGTGTGTGGCGTGCGTACGTGCGTGCGTGCGTGGCGTGACGTGGCGTGGTGTGGCGTGGTGAACGGTTCCGAGCTGGTCTACCGTCGCCGCTGGCGGGGTGTGGCCCCGGTGCGGGACCGCGGCTTTAAGGCCTAACCGGCGGTGTGTTTACTCAAACAGGTACGGCGAGGGCGCCGACACCCTGCGCCAGTACGTGCTGGAGCACGTAGAGACGCCGGCGGCCGACCAGGAGCTGCTGAGACAGCTGAGCAGCCAGGTGGGCCTCCCGCCGCCCCCTCCACCATCGGCCCGCCGCCCTAACCACCACCGGTGAAGCTCTGTCCCTCTCCACCATCGCTGGAGTGCTGCCCCTCTTCTGCAGCGCTGGAGCTTTTGTGATTGATGGGCAGTTAGGTATCACCCCCCACCCCCTTCCCCGTCCGGCTCTGCATCTGCTGCGACAGCTGGGCAGTCGGTTGGGATTAGAGATATCGGCCCGAAGTCGTCTCGGTGGCGAAAAATTCATACTGATATTGATATCGGTGTGGGATAAATCAGACGACATCGTTGGGAAGCTGCTGGCGCCGCTCACCAGGAGCTAGCGGGCAGCGCTGCTAACACACTGCTGGCGCCGCTCACCAGGAGCCGGCGGTCGGCGCCGCTAACACACCGCTGGCACTGACCTCAGGCGAGCCGACCACTCGCCGATCGGGGTGCCATCTCCTGCCGGGGGTCGAAACTAACGCCAGCACTTGTTTCTGGCTGCCACCTCTAGGTTCTGGAGAGTTATGTTAGCATCGGGCGCTACCAAGACGCTCTCACCTGGAGGGAGACGATGGAGACGCACCAGCTGCCGCCCCACGACGCCATCCTGGACAGCATCGACAACATCAGGTGCGACAGGGACGTCTGCTATAGATGCAGTTTAGCTGCGTGTACCAGTGAATTATTGTTTCCAAACGTGTGGTGAGGTTCGTGGAGAACACACATGGTAGTGGTGAACGTTGAGAACTCTCCTTAAATGGGGCGTGGAAAACGAAGTACGGAGGTCCAGACCCCGTAAATGGCGGCCTGCCCTAGCAGTGACCCCCTCTGATTCTATATGACTCCTCCGCCGTCTCAGACTTCTCGCGAGCTTCGCCGACGGCGACTACGCTGCGGTGACGTCACACGCCGCAGACCTGCCACCTGGCGAGCCCGCCGTCAAATCAGCGCTGACATCACAGGTCTATTCGGCAGCGACCGCCGCGGCGCTCTGCCACGACCAGAAGAGGTAGACTCGTGGGCGGGCGAGGCCGTGTCGGAGGGAGGGGAGGGGAGGGGAAGGGAGGCCACCTCGGTTGGGTGGAGGCTCTGCTGCGATGTCAAGCTATGGCTAGTGAGGTCGGCATCCGTGTCGCGTGTGCTGTGTAACAGTTGTTCGAGCTGAGGCGCGTTTATTGCCATTAGATGTGAGTTTCTGAGGCGGCGAGTCAGCACGTCACGGCCTTTATTACGTGGCTGTGTGTCGCCGTGCTCGGGATCCCGTTTGTCCTGCCTGCTCCGGCTGACACGGTCTTGCCAGCTGGAGGGTCTCTCCATGCCGTTGGATAGCATTGCGCGGTCTGCACAGCAGGAGAGAGCGCTCCACGGCGGCCTCGCCGCGGACACAGGCACGCCATCTGTGGCCTGCGCCTCACCTGGGTACCACAACAGGACAGAGCGCCTCACGGCGGCCTCGCCGCGGACACAGGCACGCCATCTGTGGCCTGCGCCTCACCTGGGTACCACAACAGGACAGAGCGCCTCACGGCGGCCTCGCCGCGGACACAGGCACGCCATCTGTGGCCTGCGCCTCACCTGGGTACCAATGCCCGAACCCTCCGGCGCCCAGCTCACCCGCTGACCCGAGCCTGGGCGCCACCGACAGCTGGGAGGCAGCGGCCGGTCAGCTGGCGGCGGCCACGGCCTGGACGGCGCGGCAGGCGCACGACGGCGCCACTGAGTTCCCGCCGGCCGTGGCGCCCGCCACCATCTTTAGCCTGCAGGTCCTGCTCCAGGTACGGGCCGGCTGTCGCGTACTTGTGCTCGTGCACTGGTGGGTCATACTTGGACGGTGTGGTAGTGGCCTCTCTGACCCTCGCTCCGGGTCACCAGCTGTCGGAGGTGCGGGACGGTGGACCCTCCCCCGCCTGTGTGACCTCTCTGACCCTCGCTCCGGGTCACCAGCTGCCGGAGGTGCGGGACGGTGGATCCTCCCCCACCTGTGTGACCTCTCTGACCTTCGCTCCGGGTCACCAGCTGTCGGAGGTGCGGGACGGTGGACCCTCCCCCGCCTGTGTAACCTCTCTGACCCTCGCTCCGGGTCGCCAGCTGTCGGAGGTGCGGGACGGCGGACCGGTCTCCAGCCTGCGGCTGCCGGAGCTGGCCGCCGCCGGCTGGCGGGCCGGCAGACTGAACATCTCCACTCTGCTGCAGATCACACACTGGGCTCAGTGTCTGCAAGCCCTCGGCAGTGTCACAGCCAACGGTGCGGCCAGGGGCGCGCCCAGGGCGTGGCACGGGGGGGGGGGGGGTGTGAGAACAGGCAGTGGCGCCCTTGGCCGCAGGAAACTAGGTTGGGGAAGGGGCTGGCATACAACTGGGCTGCTTTCGAGAGCCTTTGCGTGGCGCTTGTCTACGTTTGTGTTATCAGCAGCCCTGCAGAGTTGGCGTACCCACAGGATTTAACAAGAATTATTCCCAACCTTTTGAGCAAGCGGATTTCTGGGAGCCAATTCGCTAAGCCATGCCTGCTTTGTGAGTCCAGACGTCTATCATTCGATTGTGCAGGTCCAGGTCAATGGCATAATCTGGTGGTGAAAGTTTATGTTTCGCCATGTTGGTCACGCTCCTCCCTGCCCTCTGACGTCACCTGACCTTGAGCGCGACCACTGCCATCAGCCGCGAGCGATGCCGGTGTCCAGGTTAACTAGCGAGTGCCTGAAGCGACCCGAACCCACCCCGCCACGCGAGGCGGGCTGGAAGGCAGGCGCTCCACCAAACTGAGCTATAGAGATGCGCTGATCGTGGCCGGGTTCGGGATTTATCTACCGCGGAGAGAGTAAAGAGGACTTCCGTCATCAGTTTGTCACACCTCCCGTCATGTGTTATGGATCAAAATACTTGACAAACACGCCTCATTAGTGCAATTATTGCAACCATGTACTTTAATTAGTGTTACATTAATCATCACTGTCGTTATCACCGTCGTCAACAGCAGCGCCAACAGCTGCTGACATTCGTCATCTCTACCCCGCCGCCAGACCCGGCCGCGGCGCGTCTCCGTCTGATGGCCGTGAAGCGCCTCAGGCGAGCCGGTGACCTGGAGCCGGCGGCGCGCCTCCTGCTGCGGGGTCACCGCCCGGCGCGGGGTCAGCTCCAGCTGGAGACGGCGCTGGCCGGCCTGGTTACCGGCGCCGCCGACCGGCCGCCGCTGGCCGAGGCGCGCCGCGAGACCGCCAAACTGCTGCACAGGTTAGCCGGACGACGGTGCGGGCAGGCCGATGCCGAGGCCAGGCCAACGTGCGCGCACTGACACACGGGTCACCCGTGACGGTAGATACTGCTGACCGGACCAGCCGCCATTGTAGGCACTGCTGGCTGGGTCAGCCGCCATTGTAGATACTGCTGACCGGACCAGCCACAATTGTAGGTACTGCTTGCTGGGTCAGCCGCCATTGTATGTACTGCTGGCTGGGTCAGCCGCCACTGTAGGTACTGCTGACCGGGCCAGCCGCCATTGTCCATTGTAGGTACTGCTGGCTGGGTCAGCCGCCACTATAGATACCAGATCATGGAAATAGCGGTTTTGCTATCTCGCTTAGCTTTCTTAAACATCCTCAGCTTGGCGGTAGTTCATCAGCCACTGTTGCTGGATGCTATCGCTCACCGTTCGCACCGCCCCCAGCTTGGGTCGACCATTGGAGGCTATCGAGGTGCTGCTGGCCACACCCTCTGGTGACGTCACATCCCGCACCGACCTGCTTTTGGCCCGCTGGCTGGGCGGGGGTGGAGCCTCGTCGGCCCTGGATGCTGACCGAGTAAGATGGCTGATCGTGGCGCTGGCCAATCACGGCAGTCGCTCATGCATTGTCAGTCAGCTCTGTTGCTGCCGTAAAGACGCCCTCATGTCAAACCCGCTGGCTGCATATACGGGTGTTTGAGCGCTATCAGTGTGGGAAGTGTGAGCACAGTGTGTGTGAGGTGTCGGCGCAATGTCCCAGTGGTGCCGATGCGGCCCTGTTGCCTCCTGCCTGGGCCCCCTTCCCCCCCCCCCCCCCCACCGATCCACCTCCCGCTCATGGGATGCACGTTGTGCCACGTACGCTGTTTGTCTGCCCTCCCCAAGTCGGTGCGTGTCTGTGCCCCAGGTGGAGCAGTACTTGTCTGCAGTGGCGCCGGGTGACCTCAGCGGGGTCAACAGTCACGTGGTGCCGACCGCCGACATGCGGGTAAGGCTCACCGATGGGTGGGCGGCGCTCTGTCGCTGACAGCTTCGTCGAGCACGCCGACTGATGCACACATGGCTCTCTTCAAGACGCGTGTTTGACATCCTGCAAGCGGCTACATGTATTCCTCACCTCGCTTCGGATCGTCGGTGTGACGTGTCAGTCGCAGTCGCAGTAGGCCGTTCTCCCTCCCCCGCCCCAGCCAGTCCCGCTTGCAGCGCCAGCGGGCGGCAGCAGTTTGCCATAACGTCGTATGGGGTCGTCGGACCGGGAGGCGTGCCGTGTGGAGGAGCCGAGGCCAGCGACCCTCCCCTCCCCGCCAGCCGAGGGGCCACCGGTGCGTCATGTGTGGTCGTCGGACCGGGAGGCGTGCCGTGTAGAGGAGCCGAAGCCAGCGACCCTCCCCTCCCCGTCAGCCGAGGGGCCACCGGTGCGTCATGTGTGGTCGTCGGACCGGGAGGCGTGCCGTGTGGAGGAGCCGAAGCCAGCGACCCTCCCCTCCCCGTCAGCCGAGGGGCCACCGGTGCGTCATGTGTGGTCGTCGGACCGGGAGGCGTGCCGTGTGGAGGAGCCGGGGCCAGTGATCCTCTCCTCCCCTCCAGCCGAGGGGCCACCGGTGCGCGTCAGGTCTGTACTGCTCCCAAGTCAATTCGTGCGCCAGATGACATGGGACGGCTGGGGGAGTCCGACACCAGTCCGCTGGGGCCCTCCCCCGGAATAGCCTGACCTCTCACCGAAGACGGTCGGGGCTGGGACCGGTCAGGGCCTCTCCCAGGGGCTGACGGTGCTCCGTCGCCTCGCTAGGTCGGTCGGCTGCTGGAGGCGGCCGTGCAGCGCTCGCCGGAGGACAGCAAGGCATGGTACATGCTGGCCGACTGGTGCTACACCTGGGGCAAGCAGGCAGTCACCGACTCACAGTACGTGCCGGAGATGGGTGTGCCGACAGAACATGTACACACGAACGGTACCGAACTGCATACTGTGCCCCCATGACACCGTACTGTCACAGGACACCCATACGTAAATGCTACTTATTCGCAGGATACCATGCTCAATAATATTATTCTGACACGTTACGCATGTACAAAGCCGCGGTGACGGCTGTTGGCGACTGTGCCCGTTCGCCATTATTGTGCTGACATTTTGTCACACTGAGACAGCGCCTGGGCGACGTAATAGGGGGCCCTTTTGCCACACTGAGACAGCGCCTGGGCGAGGTAATAGGGGGCCAGTGGTGCTCCTGATTATTTCGCCGACAGAGCACTAAATCCACGACGGCCGTGTGAGCCCGCCATCTGCCGTCAGGTGCCGTTCTGCCGACCAGCTGGTCGACAGCCGCGCCGCCGTGGCCGCGCTGCTGCCGGACGCGCCGGACGAGGCCGTCACCCGCCTCACCGACATCGTGGAGCGCAGCCATGTGCAAACGGACCCTGACAATGACATCGAGGTGCGCCACGCGGCCGCCGGCCCCACCCGTGTCGGCCGGTATCGGCATGGGAAGGGGAGGGGGGGGGGGGGGGGGGGGGGGCTGCGGGGCGTTGGGTTCCATTCGCTGCCGTGCAGTTTGATGTTACCTGCCTCTTGTCACGTATTCGGCTAATGACGGCAGCGGCAATGCGGGAACAGATAGCTTACGCAGCGCGCCACATTGTTTTAAGCTGTGTCTGCTAACCATCTCGGCCGAGCCAAGCTGACCGCCTGTGCCCAGTTTGTTCGGTGGCGACATTGAGACGGTCAGTACTCCGCTCCGGTGGCGGCGTTGAGACGGTCAGTACCCCGCTTCGGTGGCGGCATTGAGACGGTCAGTACTCCGCTCCGGTGGCGGCATTGAGACGGTCAGTACTCCGCTCCGGTGGCGGCATTGAGACGGTCAGTACCGCCGCCGGTCAGTACTCCGCTCCGGTGGCGGCATTGAGACGGTCAGTACCCCCCCCCTTTCCCGTGGCAGCATTCCCAGTCTCGCATTGAGACGTCGTACTGCGGCGGTGGCGGCGACGGTCAGACCCGTTCCGGTGCAGCATTCCATCTCCGTCGCAGGGTGTCGCGGATGATGCTCAAGGACAATGACATCGCCAGAGTTTCGTCAACGCTCCCTGTAAGCTCCCGTAGAATTACATGTCGCTGCCCGCGCCTCCTCACAGCTCCGCTTACGCACATCCCCTCACATACCCCCCTTTTCACAACACGTCCCCCCTTACACCACCCGACCCCCGCTCAAACACTTGGCCTCCGCTCACACCACCTTCCCTCACGGCGCCACGTCCCTCGTACACCTCCTGCCCTGACGCTGTTCCTGTTGCCACCAGTGCGAGTTCAGCCCGACACTCGTTCGCCGCCGGCAGGATGATCTGATCTCGTCGTCGGCCTGGGTGCGCGCGCAGCTGGCGACGGTGGCGCCGCCTGGCCGCGTGGACCAGCTGCTAGAGCTGTGGCGCGCGGCACAGAGCAGTGTCTACGGCCACCTGGGCCTGGCGGCAGGCGCCTACTTCCGCTTCCTCCAGCTGCAGCAGGTACGCGGATGCTCGGAGACGGCGGGCGGGGGTGGGGTGGGGCGGGGGAGTCAGAGCGTGGGGGGGGGGGGGGGGGAGCCGGAGGACGGGAGGGGAAAAACGGGAGAACTGGAGGGGTGGAGACGGGATAGTCGGAGGGCGGGGGAAGACGGGAGACCGGGAGCACGGGTGGTAGCCAGAGGGTGGGGAGGGGAAACTGGAGAGCTGGGTGGCAGGGGATAGAGCCAGAGGGCGGGGGAAGGGGATGGGAGATCCGGAAGGCGGGGGAGACGGGAGAGCTCAAGTAGAGGGTAGAGCCGGTAGGGAGATCTGGGCGTGGTGAGACGGGAGAGCCGGGGGAATGGGGAGGGCGGAAGGAAACGGAAGAGCTGGAAGGCGGGGGGGGGGGGAGACATCCGGAGGGGGATACGGGAGTGCCAGAGGGCGGGGTTGGAGGAGATGAGAGAGCCAGGAGGCGGGGATGATGAGTTGTGACTGGGATGGGGGGGGGGACATGTGTCAATTTGGGGGAAAGGAAAACTGGATGACTGTTACCAACTCACTTACTTTGTGGATTTGGAGGTACATGCTTTAGTGTTGGTTTATGACATTTGAGGGATGGACTGTAGGGGCATGCTGTTGAGCTGTTGAGGGCTAGGCGTGCAGGGCCCAGCGAAGAGCGGGGGGAGGGGGGGGGGGCGTGCTAGACGGATGTGTGGTTGGAATTGGCAGCGGATGAAAATCCGGAGGTGGAGCCGTGCCGACAGTGATGATAAATGGGAAGGCGTGATCATGGTCATCAAGATCAGTATCTTCCTGGTTGTGGGATGTACTGCCAGCGAGCGAAACAAAGCCTGGATGCTTGGGATTCAGTTAAGGAATGCTGCGGTAAACGTAACGAACGTCCACGAAAAATGACTCGGCCTCTTTGTCGGAATAAAATCGTTCTTGTTGATACACTAAAATTCGCCTCCGTTTGTTTATTACAGCAGTGTGACACGTGATTATGTCTTCCACCAGTCGCGACCGTCGCCGACCCTCCTCCCATCTGTTGCAGGAGTCGGACACTTCGGGTTGCGAACGGAGCACGCTGGCGGCGCTGCGTCTGCTGCGTCTGATCGTCAAGCACGCGGCCGAGCTGCGTGATCAGCTGATGGAGGGTCTGGCGGACACTCCGGCCGGGCCTTGGAAAGCTATTATACCTCAGGTGCGCTGGCTCCGACCATGGCTCAGTGTTCACTATGTGCTGTCCCCTGGAGAGCTATAATACCTCAGGTGCGGTGGCTCCAACCATGGCTCACTGCTCACTATGTGCTCTCAGAGATGTGGACATGACTATAGGGTGACTGTAATCAGTATTGGGCCAGGGCACAAAAGGCACAGAAGCGCCTTGTGGTCGCTTTCGGAGATAACTGAGGTCTGGAGAGTGTCGTGTTTAGGCGTGTTTATCGACACTTTGACGTTCTTCTGTTCCACTGTAGTGCCGTTGCGGCCGTATTGTGTACACTGTGAGGCAATGTGTATTGTTGTGGCTGTGTTAGCTGGCTGTCGGCACCGGCGTCGCAGGTTTGCTGCCCGTCGCGCTGTTTTGGCCGTGTTCTGCGTCACCCTGGACCGGTGTGCGCCGTTGCAGCTGTTCGCCCGTCTGGATCACCCGGAGCCGTACGTGCGCTCGTCCATCGGCCGGCTGCTGTGCGCCGTGGCCGACGACGACCCTCAGCTGGTCATCTTCCCGGCCGTGGTCGGCGGCGACGGCTGCCGGGCGACGCCCGACACAGGTGCGGGCGAGCGGGACTGACGGGGAACGCGGCGGCGGGGCTGACACGGCGCCAGTGTCAGGGGCTGGCACGGTGTTGGTGTCTGCCCGTCGTGTCCGCCCCTCCTGCCAGGCTGAGAGGCAGGTGATGCCACACAGCCTCAGCAGTTGGTTGCGTCGTAAAGCCCCAATGACCCGCACATGGGGCCAGTGTCGGGGCCTGACGCTGGTGCAGTGTCACGGCCCGGCCCGGGCACGAGCACCAGGGTCTGACACATCCGTAGCGCTGGTGGTCACATCCGGCGATAGACACGCGGGCTCCATGTCCTGGACATATGCTGCACGCGCCTATATCGGACTGGGGGTGGGCGTCGCAGCCATGGAAGCTACAGCGACCGCCGACGAGTTCTAGCGCAGATTCTGGATTGGAAACGGCCGTAGGGCCCAGGGGCGCGGCTTGCTGGCTCTCTGGGGCTCTCCCCCGCTGCTGTTCTGGCCTCCGCGCACTGGAACCGACACAGCCGTGGGCGCATTCGCCGCCGGCTGACGCCGTGCACTGGCTGGTGTCTCCCGCGGCCCTGGCCGTGCGCCGCCGGCTGACGCCGTACACTGGCTGGTGTTGTCCGCGGCCCTGGCCGTGCGCCGCCGGCTGACGCCGTACACTGGCTGGTGTCTCCCGCGGCCCTGGCCGTGCGCCGCCGGCTGACGCCGTACACTGGCTGGTGTTGTCTGCGGCCCTGACCTTGTGCGTCGTCTGCAGAAGGCGAACCGACGGAGGTGGACGGCGACCAGGAGGTGGCGTGTCGTCTGGACTGCTACGCTGGACTGGTGGACACGCTCCGCAGACGGGTCAGTCCACGTCGCCGGCGCGAGGGGAGATGGGCTCGGGGGGCGGGACCGTTTAAGGGGAGGGCTTGAAGGGTGCAACAAGGGGAGGGCTTGCTCTGGGGATGGGTTAGCCGGCCTGGCAGATAGGAATGGAACAAGGTAGATCTAGAGTGCTCTTTGGTAGGTGTGTGCGTGTGTGTGTGTGTGTGTGTGTGTGTGTGTGTGTGTGTGTGTGTGTGTGTGTGTGTGTGTGTGCGTGCGTGCGTGCGTGCGTGCGTGCGTGCGTGCGTGCGTGCGTGCGTGCGTGCGTGCGTGCGTGCGTGCGTGCGTGCGTGCGTGCGTGCGTGCGTGCGTGCGTGCGTGCGTGCGTGCGTTTGTAAGATCCAACAAGGTGTTCTTATTTTCAAGGGGTTATCGGATTTCGCCTTCTTTGGCTCAAGGTGTGTTCTGAAAGTTTCGTCATGAGGAATGGCTCACCCCCCCCCCCCCCCTCCACTGCGCGTGCGCCCTCGAAGGGTAGAACATACTTGAAATGGACCAGTCCAGATTGGTAGCGTTTCTAATGGCGTAGATAGTGTAGCTGGAGAAGCAGATAGTTCTAGGGATTATATTGCTTATGTTACTCACTTTATGTGAAGGCTTGTCTGGTCGGAAGTTTTGTTTCATTGTGTTTAATAGTTGTATGGTACAGTCACACTACGATGCTTGTGCGCACTGCTACTTGCAAGTGCCGGATTAAAGATACTAGTTATGGGTATCATGCGCAGTGTGGCTTGTCTTTGTAATCCACCGTGACTGACGTGTGTTATTCTTAGACGGTTTCTCCGCGCTCATCCCCTTCCCGCTCCGCAACCGAAGCCCGCCTCAGGTTCCGTGTTTCACCGCCCTGGCTGGCTCTGCCGCAGCCCCGCGCCGCTCCTCCCTCGCCTGGCGCCCGTCCTGCCTCCCTGCCTGCCTGCCGTCCTGCCTGCCTGAGCCGCCACCTGCCGGCAGAACCCGGCTGCCATGGCCGACGTGACGGTGATGGTGCGCGAGCTGCGGCGGGTGACGCTGCTCTGGGACGAGCTGTGGGCTGGCGCGCTGGCGCAGCACCAGCCGGAGGCGGCGCGCCGGCTGGCCGCGCTCGCCGCCGAGCTGCAGAAGGTGGCCGAGCGTGAGGCGCTCAGCGAGGACGAGCGCGCAGCCATCGCCGCCGACAAGTACAGCATCGCCGTCAGGCCGGTACGGGCCGACGCAGCGGCGGCGGGGAGCGGCACACGCCTACAGCCGCCGGATGGCGGGCGTGGTGTTACAGGACGTAACGGAGAGCGCGCTACAAGAGGCGTGCTCCCTTGTCGCTATGTCCAACGTGCCGCAACGCGTATGGCATTGTTCGCTGTGTTCTTGGTTTTTGGGGCGTTTTTTATGTTGTCTCGCCCGGCGGCCGGTATGCACTCTGTATTATTCAGTGACCTCAGGTGGGACCCATGCACAGTGAGGCCGATGGCTGGCGACGATAGCGATGCGACAGCGCAGCAGGGCCGGTCCGCCGCAGAGGTGTTAGTTTTGCGCCAGTCGATCTTGATGGCTTTCGAGACCGTTAACGCCTGCGCTCATGCTGGTTTTGCTCTTGTTTCCTGGTGTGAGCTGTTGTGTCTGATGGCGCATGCCGGGGAGGGTTTCATTTTGAGGCAATCGTCGCTGGTTCTTGGGTGACTGGAGCACCTTTGCGTGTGTCTGCTTGTTAATTGGTGTTGGGCCCTCAGATTCTGTACGTTCTTGAGAAAATACATGCCATCACGTCAGTGCCTGCAGAAACTCCACATGAAGAGACCTTCCAGAAGCTCTATCGTGAGTTGTTGTTTTTTCTGCACGGTTGGGCTGTCTAGGCTGTCAGTCTGAACATCTATACCGCCAGGGGCATAATCAATTGTATAAGTGATGATTTATGTGTTCGTTGTGAGATGGTTGCCATGACGTCATGCCTCGCCCGCCATGTGCTGTGGTTGCCTGTCTGGCGAGCACATGCTTCAAGCACAACTGTGACTTGAAATAACCCACCGACTAGACGGGACCCTGCCCAGGCCGTCCCCTTGTCTCATGCGGTCTGCCGCCCCCTCCCCTCCTCTCTCTCCGACCTCTGCTCTGTCCGCCCGGTCCCCTCTGACTTGTGTTCCCCCGACCCTGCTGCTCCGCCCTGCTCACACATCCGCCCCATTTCCTTTGGCCCGTTCTTCCTCTGTCCCACGCCGTCAGCCCCATGCCCTGCACCGTCGCCTGCTGCTTGCTGCCGGTGCCCGGCGCTCCCCGCTCGGGCCCATCCGCCCGCCCGCGCCACCGGGCCGGCCTGTGACGGCGCCGGCCGCTGCAGAGGCCGACATTGAGGTGGCGCTGGCTGGGCTACGCGAGCCGGCTGAGCCGTGGACGCCGCGCGCCGCCTGGGAGCCGTTCCGCCGGCTGGCCGCCGCCCTCCAGCAGCGCATGTCTGGCCGCGCTGCGCAGGCACTCAGCCTGGACGACATCTCTCCAGTGCTGGCCGGTAAGTCTGGACGACATCTCTCCAGTGCTGGCCGGTGAGGAGGCGCCGGCGCCGGCCGGAGGCTGGACGCCCACCGTGTGGCCATCCTTGGCGGTAGTTCCCTGTTGGGGCTGGCGCGGGTCCGAAGGCGACGCTTGGGGCTGTCCACGGGCACGTGTGATCGTTGGGGAGGGGAGGGGGCTGCGCGAGGCGTGTTCCCTACAGCCCTCCCCCCAAAAAGCCTCTAAATATCAAGTTTTTACTGGTGGACCTGAAAGGCATGTGCTTGTCTCTTCACTACTCATAGGAATCGCCATTTAGATGCAAATTGTTCCATTATCTTTATTCCCCCCCCCCCCCCCATTTGTATAGGACGACCACGGCCATTGCCAGGCAGTGCGGAGGCTTCTGGTTGGTACGGTTTCCTGACCCCAGCCAACTTCAAGGTTCTGCTCCCGTCTTACCCCCAGTTAGTTCAGTTCCCCTCCCGTTGACCGTCACCTCTCACTCTGCCGCAAACACCGCACCTCCCTCCAAGCCGGTGTTTGACTGTGACCCCGCCGACGCGTGACCTCTGACCCCGCCGGCGCGTGACCTCTGACCCCGTCGGCGCGTGACCTCTGACCCTGCCGGCGCCGCCAGGTTTGCGGGACACGGCCGTATGTATGCCGGGCGTGGCGGGCGCCTGCGGCCTCATGGTGAGCGCCATCGAGCGCAGCGTGCTGATCCTGCCGACCAAGACCAAGCCGAAGAAGCTGCAGCTCTGCGGCTCCGACGGGCGCAGGTGAGAGACCGAGGCGCGGCCAGCGGCAGCGGTCCCGCAGGCGCTGACGGCGCTGTCGAGGCAGTGACGTCTTCGGCCGGCCTACTGGAGGTCCTACTCGGTGGTCACAGTCTTTGGCTTTGAACAGATTAAATGTGAAGCGTAGTGATTGGATGGATTTATGGGGTCAGTGCCCACGCCAAGAGGTGTCTGTTGCGTGCGCCCTGGCCACGCCGTCTGATCTTAAAATTACCGACCAAAGGCAGAGTTTTGTGGCGGAAGATTCGCGTGTCACGATGCCCCGCACGATCTGTCCCTGCTCTCTGACGTCACCGAACACTCGGCGCGGCCGCTGTTGACAGATCATCCCAGTCATGGTCCCCAAACCGAGCTGAACCCATTGGCCTGCCACGTGGGAGGACAGGGGGAGAGGGGATGGGGAGGGGACTGGAAGGTGGGCGCTCTTATCCGCTAAGGTACCGGGGCAGGTAGTTCAATCGTATCCAACATCTGAAATGTGCTGGCATGGGTGTACAGCGGGGTCCAGGTGAGATGTGCATGTCTGTATGGCTTACTGCTCATTTCCAATTACTGTGTTCGTCGAGGAGACGACGAAAACACATTCAACGGGATAAAGGATACTGTACTGTTCAAGTGCTTGTGGTTAGACCGCTAGCGTTGTGCTTCTGGCGGGTGTGCCGTCCTCGAGCGGTGCAGGCCATGCCGTGTGCCTGCTCGCGATTTGTGCAGTGTCAGCAGTCCTCCATTCACCTCGTGCATCTCAAGATGAACTATTTGATCGTGATAGTGATAGTCCTCCATTCGCCCGATCCATGTCGAAATCAATTTTGCGAAAGTGAGAGCTCTATGAAAGGGGTTGTCGATCTCATGGAATTTGGTCCCCAAATGGTCACGTCTTCTGTCGGATTTCGAACACCAGCTCCAGATCTGTTCTACTGAACTTTCAATGCACTGAATGAATGATGCACTTGACATTACATCAGCACTTTTGACTCGGGCGAGAACGACACTTGAGTCCATGGGCTGCTGGGCCTCAAACCGCCTCCACGCCGCCCTCCACCGAGTTCGAGTTCGGCTGAGTGATCTTGGCCGGGCCGGGCCGGCAGGTACGCGTACCTCTTCAAGGGTCTGGAGGACCTGCACCTGGACGAGCGCGTCATGCAACTGCTGTCCATCACCAACCAGATGCTTGCCAAGCAGACCGAGTGAGTTTGCTGCCCTGGATGGTAGGTCTGGTCTGCTGCGCTTGCTGTTGGTGGGGGCTTCTTGCTTGTTGTGGACGAGGTCCGCTGGTTACACTGGACTGCACGCCGACCTAACGCGAACACCCGAGCTAATCGGGGTCGTGACGGAAACGTCCGTGGCACTCACACAGATGACGTGAATACCCGTGACACTCACACAAACGACGTGAATACCCGTGACACTCACACATACGACGTGAATACCCGTGACACACGTATGACGTGAATGCCCGTGACACTCACACATACGACGTGAGTACCCGTGACACTCACACATACGACGTGAATACCCGTGACACTCACACGTGTGACGTGAATACCCGTGACACTCACACATGACGTGAATACCCGTGACACTCACACGTATGACGTGAATCCCCGTGACACTCACACATACGACGTGAATACCCGTGACACTCACACATATGACGTAAATACCCGTGACACTCACACGTATGACGTGAATACCCGTGACACTCACAGATGACGTGAATACCTGTGACACTCACACAGATGACGTAAATACCTGTGATGCTCACACATATGACGTGAATACCTGTGACACTCACACGTATGACGTGAATATCTGTGACACTCACACATATGACGTGAATCCCCGTGATGCTCCCACATATGACACGAACACCCGTGACACTCGCGCATATGACATGAACACCGACACTCGCTCGTAGAACGTTAGTACCTCGTGACACTGGCGCATATGACGTGAATGCCCGTGCCACTGGCGCATATGACGTGAACACCGGTGATGCTCACGCACATGACGTAAACACAAGTGAGCTGGGCTCAAGATCGCTGGTTAGATCACCTGCATGGCTGTTTTGGCGGCCTGCCGACCGCGGCGAGACAAGCTGGTCAGTGACCTGACCTTACCTCCACGCCAGGGACGTCGAACGGTACCGTGCGCGCGGCTACGCCGTGGTGCCACTGGGCCCACGCTCCGGCCTCATCCAGTGGGTGGAAGGCAGCACGCCCCTGTTCGGCGTCTACAAGCGCTGGCAACAACGCGCCGCCACCGCCAACGGCACAGGTCGGGCACCCCTGCAGCAGAGACGGGTCGAGCGCCCCTGACTTCGGTCCGCTCGGCCCCTTGGAGGGGATTTCCGGCAACGTGGCTTGTCAGTTGCTGACGAGAATGTATACGGCGCCTGACCTAAGGCCTCTGGGGTGCCAAGACCCGAGCGGTGCATAATAAACTGTATTTTCAGTGGTGCCAACGTCGTGTGGACGCTGGTTGATGGTTGGTGTCATGAAGAACATAACGCCCGCTGTTGGTGCTCAGTTGTGTTGACGGATTCCCTGGCGGTACGTTATTGCTTTGTTCGACAGAACACCGTGTGGAATTGTCTACTTGTGGCCCGATTATAATCCGCCGTGCGAAAAGGCGACTACTTTTCCCTGCCGCCTGACATGTAGCCTGGGGCATCTCATGGTGACCTGACCCCCGCCCCTCCCCGCAGCCGGCCCCCTACAAACGCCCGTGGCGCGGCCTTCCGAACTGTTCTCGGCCAAACTGCAGCCGGTGCTGCGCTCTCGCGGCCTGCCGGCCGACTCGAGCCGCCGTGACCTGCCATCAGATGTCCTCGTCAGCGTGCTGCAGCAGCTGCTGGAGGAGACGCCAGGGGATCTGCTGGCCAGGCGAGTCCATTTGATGCCTCAGCGATAGTTTTGTCGGCTTACCAGTCAGGCATGCAGCCAGCGAATGAATGTGTCAGGTTGTAGGTACTTTTTGCACCAGTTTGTGTGTGGGTGGGTAGTGCTGAGTGTTTCTGAGCTGTCCGGTTCCCGCCAGTCACGTGATGATGATTGGCACCAGCTGACCCGTCAAGCCTTGGTACCACCGAGAGCGTGTGGTGAGAGGTACTTGGCTATGGGAGTACGTGCCTTGGGATATGGGTAACACGTAATACTGTTTCAGTGCGCTGTGCTGCGCTGTTCTGCGCTTTGCGGTGCTATGTGTGACCTTTGGTGTGTCTGTGGAGGCTGGCACACCGTGCATGACCAGTGTTGCAGAGCAGGTGGCTGTGCTCGCCGGCCCGCCCGCCGCCCTGGCTCCTGTCCGGGGCGGCTGTAGTGCTGCGTCACGCCCCCCCCCCCCCGCCCCCCGGCCGAGGTGTGCCGTGTCATCGGTAAGCTCCTCCTCT